CCGTTCTGTCCAGTTGCGTTCCCACTCGTTCAGGAAGCGGAGGGAAGTCTCGACAGAGGAGACTGGAGGTTCAGTCAGAGGTAATGATGCAACTTCATGCCAGGTGCCATCGGGCTTCTGAAAGGATTCGAGCTCGTCCAGGCCGCTTTGAGGGGTCTTCATCACGGATATGCCAGCAGGAAAGACGCCTGTCAGAGGCCAGTAGAGGCGTGCGGGAGCCTCGTGACGGTAGCGACGGCCTCCTCGTCGACGCACTTTTCCATCAAGTGAAACCTCTGATGTGGAAACGATAGCTTCCATTTTGCTACTACCTTGCTAGTTGGCATGGAAATCCTCATTAGCTGTCCGGAGCTAGCATTGATCGTACGATCGTACTCGGCATTGCTGGTGACGAGGAAAAACTATTAGCCGGTGCCATTTTTGGCTAGAAGTAGCCACCTTTCTTTTCTCGTTGCGACTGCTGCTGGAATACCCACCGCATGCAACAGATGCTGAGAACTATTGCAGGTTCCGCTATAGGTACGCGGTCAATCCCACTTATCTCTTTGCGGCGCACAGAAGCAATCTTCAGGCAGCCATGGCATAGCTCGGCGTCCTACGCATTAGTATGACTGAACGGTTTTCATATTGACAGTCGACCTGAGAATCTAGCTTTAATTCACAGTTGGCGAACTCCGCACCACACTGCCGTCTTACATGTGATGCGCTGAAATGAGCTTTCAAGAACACTTTAACAGTGAAATAGCAGGGGAGCATCTTTTTCTATACTTAAAGTATTTCCATCGCCAGTTCTTATTGCTTAGAAAAGGGTTACTCAAGCAAGATACATGAAGAAGTAAAAAGAATTGTATTGTCTTTCCAGTAGATCTGAGTCGACGTTGGCTTCCGAGCCTGTCTGAACCTACACCCTCCATCTGCTATAGCCTACGGTTCGGATCCACCCTCCATATGTAGCAATCATTTTCTATCACACCTCCCTGCTTATGGTTGATACCGCCACAGTTGCAGCTATCTGCCGGCACAGAAAGGTAGCGCTCACACAAGGTCTCATCAAAACCACTGTCTCGTCCCTCCAAGTCTCTTTTACCCGACGTATGGAGGCTACCAAAGCTGCATCCTTCTTTGACTTCGAGCGACTCCTTGATGACGACCGTGCCGAGGCCTCCATTGTATGGGAAAGGAAAGTCCTTTTCTATGTAGAAACCCGGGCCGAGGTTCTTGCGGGAGAGGATATCACAAAAGCTCTTGGCCGCGTTCTGCATTCGCTCATCTTCCGTGTCTTCACCGCTGTTATAACACTTGACTTTGTTGCTCTGAGGATCACCTTGAACAAATCGTAAGAGCGCAGGGGTTTGAGTTGGCTTTGTTGACGATGTTGCTGATGTGGAGGTGCTTGTGGAAACAGGGCATGAGATCCCTGCTTCCCATAGATTCTCAATGTCGCCATCGTCACCACCTGGAGCGCTGGCACTGCCCCAGAACCAAGGCTGGTTGATGCATTTTGAGTTTTCGAAGTCGAGGTAAGAGCACGGCGGCACAATCGGAGAATTCAGATCGCCGGAATAAAGTACAATCTCAGGTTTGGGCCAACTTCCGGAGGGTGGTGCCGGTGCACCGGGACCAATAAATTTGGGGGGCGTGGGGAAGGGCCCAGTTGCGGATGTCGTGGTCGGCTTTCCGTCACTGCCCTTGTAAACAACGGCAGGCCAATAAGGCGTTGTCGCCGGAACAGGTCGAATGGTTTCTGCAGCGCGCTTATGTTTGCCGGCACTGCCTCCGGTCTCTGTGATAGCCTCAAATATCCACTCCGTGATGGTCAATGGTGCTTGTGTGATGGTGCTGGTCCATGTTCCCTGGCTGACGGTGATGAAGGGGTAGTTCACAGTACTTGTTGCGCCGGTCCATGGAGGTATAATGGCTTTGCATGGCAGAGAACAAGTAAAGTGTGGCTGATCCATTTCCCATATCTTGGGGTCGATCCAGACATAATCGTCGAAGCGACTACCGTTTCCCCCGACATCAAGGATACTGATCTGTGACCACTTCGGGTGGACTTCAACGTTGAGGTTGTCAATGGCGGGGATGCCCTTGCCGTCCATCACGGCCATGTACTTGGCCCCAATTGTCACGAGGTTTGTGATACGAATATTGGCAAAATTGTTTTTGAGGAGCATGAGTGCCTTTTGGCATTGTTGCGTATCGATACAGCTCTGGCTGTATGTCGAGAACCACTACATAGCCATGAAGTTAGTAAAGCCTTTGTAGAATCGCAGGAAAGACGTCGCGTAAGGCAAGTCAGAAAACGAGGAGCACTATTCAGGCTTCGTCCTGTACTGCATAAGCTTCACTTACAGAGTAGATACCCGCAGCCGCAATGAAGATGTTGTCCGATTCCGTCATAATAGTGGACCAGGACTCGTCGCAGCCGCTGAACTCGTCTCCTTGAGTACACGTGTAGTCAGGGTCCCCGGGGAACTTGCCAAGAGTGTCAGCGAACGGAGCTGGTGGCGGGGGCGTTGGCTGGAAGTAAGGTGACTCTGTTTGCAGCAGACCGACAAATAGGTTCGATGCCGAGTGAAAATTGTACTGGTAAAAGACAGCGTGTTCCGAGGCGGTGCCATAGAGCCTGGTACACCAGGCATGTCAGTTTCTATCATCATAACTCAATTTGTGACAGTAAGCATACCAAGTAGGATCTGTGCTTTCGATTAGAAAGCCTCGAGCAACATATATCGAGGTCTGTGTCATATCGTTCTTAGGATCAACCCAATCGGGATCGCTATATTGGGTGACCTGGTCAGCACAGGGCCTCTAGCACGAATGTGCTCCCTCCAACTTACTCAATCATATGATCAGCCCCCCAGAGCCACATGTTTTCAAAGTAGCCCGAGGCTGATTTTGTTAGGTGCATCATCAGACTGGCGGCAGAGCATCCTGGATCGATCCCACTTGTAGCGGCAGGACACTCAACAGGCGTGAGTTTTGTGCCAAGTGCGCCTCCCACTCTTGCGTGACAGTCCCACAAACCTGCAGCACCTTGAGACTCGGCTCTTAGGTTCCATTGAACGAGAATGGCACCGGATGTCGGACCATGGGTCGTAAAAAGAAGGTCCTGCATTTCTACATTACCGATCTGTCCAGCCTGTCCGACTTGGATCATGACCTTAGGGTTGCTTGACACGTATGTTAATCGAAGCTCGCAAAAGAAGAGAACCAGCCAAATAGTCATCGTCGCTTTCTTAGACAGAACAGTCACTTGGTTGGCACTTACTTGGCGTCCGAAAAGTAAGGTCCCGATGCGGCCAGCTGTGACCAGGTCTCGCCCACAATCTTGGATCCCGGTGGAATGACAACGGTCGAGGTGAGGATATAAGTCCCGGCGTCGATAAATAAGATATTCCCCACACTGGCATAAAGAGCGGCCTGGAAAGCCGCCGTGTCGTCGGTCAAGCCGTCGCCCTGGCAGCCAAGGTCCTTGGTGTGTATGAATGCCGACGCAGGTCGGCTCTCATACTGTGGTCTCGCACGCTCAAAATAATTTCCATTCGAATCTAGGAGTTTTGAGACCCGTCGAAATTTTCCGGCTTTGCCGCCGGGGGAGAAGGAGCGAGCACTCGTCGAGCCCTCATAGATGGGGCCAACAGCCCACTGATCGATGAGGGCTGATGAAGCCAGGAGCGTTGCGCCAGTTGTGTCAGCAACAGCCACTTCAACTTCCGAGAGAGCGATATTCTCGAGAGATATTCCTGTACTGCCTTTACCAGGAGCGGACTCGATGCGTTTGACGACGATGGCCTTGCTGGCACCGGTGAAGGACGAGTCCAAAATCGAGACAGAGCCAACTAGGAGAAAGAATGTAAGTCCTGGACATCAATGTGCCTGCATAATATTAACCAGTAGGGAGAACCAAACAGGAAACGAGAATAAAGATGAAACGGAGCCAAGGAAGAAGAGTCTACTCAGGGAAACCTACTATTTCCAACGCCGCCGTCGCCGACAAGCTTGAAGCCAATGCCCACATTCTTCATGGTAATTGATTTCCATACCCAGCCCCAGTCCCAGATGACTTGAATACCCACATCACAGCCGTCAAAGTTGAGGCGCTGCGCTGTGAACTGTTGGCTACCCGCCTTGAGGCCAACGCCCCCGCCGGTGAAGGTGATATCGGAGATGCTACCGCCGCTGCCGTTTTCAGCATACATACCAATCTGGTCTGTGCCAGACTGGGCTATGAGCTCAACGTTTTGCGTGCTCGTGGCCTGAGCGACTTGATAATGGATGCCTGTGATGACAGAACCCTCCTTGACCTTTCGGATGTCAATTCTGATGTTGCGAATCTGACGATAAAAATTGGCCGTGTTGACAAAGTATCTAAATTTAAGAATTGTTGAGCTCATTGAACATTTTATCAGTGTAAGGCAAGAGGCGTATCTTAAACATACTCGGGGTCTTTGCCGTCGATACCAGCACCATCGGCACCTGTGTACTCATCGGTGGACAGCACGCCCAGGCCGACAAATGATGGAGCTGCTACGAGCGTCGGGCGGTCATTAGCATCTCCAATAACCTGAGTGCCAAAGGGCATGGCAATTGTAGATGAGACGAGGTACTTTCCGGGTGGGAAGTAGACAATGGCGTTCTTTGTCGTTGACCCGTTGCAACCGCGGTCGCATCGAGTGCTGTTAGTTCCCATGGCCTTATTGATTGCTTTCGTATCGTCCTATAAGGCGAATATGAAACTCGTTAGCATAAGAAGAAACAGTAACATTGGGACAAATAAGTAAACCCACAGTGACTCCATCGCCCACTGCTCCGTAGTCCAGAACGTTTCTGAAGATAACCTTGATGCTTTGGTTAGGCAGTGACATAACAAATTTCTTGATGTAGACGTACATAGGAAGTATCATTTCCCCAAGGTACAGTGCCTTTCCGTGCGATACTAGTGTGAAAGTCCATGTTAGCCTGGTCAAGCTCGCAGCGAAGTCAGGTCTATGCCTACTTTTGCATCCAAAATGTTCCCTTGCCGGCTGCGGCCGCACGCCTCGTCCAGTTGCCACGGTTGGTATTTAGGTCCGCCTCGGCGACCAAGGCCGCTGCTGCAGCAATTTCATCAGTAATTGGCAGGAGTGGTGGCGGTAGCACCATTACGGCCTGGTTGGCATGCTCGAATTGGGTGCCGCTGTCGCGCAGGGCCTTCACACCGGCAGCCCCCGTAACTGTGTTGTTCTCTCTCCCGTAAAAGTATCTACTGCGAAGCGGGTTCGCCAATCGAGCCCTGTTTAGCCTGTCTGACTCGGCACGAGCATGTTCTACAATGCGCCGAGCCGCATTCAGCTCCGAGGACGTCGCGTTCCTGACCAGCGGCACGATTCTGGGAGGGAGTTGTGCACTTCGGAGCCTAAGCTCGGGCGACTCCAGCTCGGGCCTGAGAAGGGTCACATCGACCTCTGAATTCGAGTTGTCCAGCCGAGCTATGTCACGCATCTGAAGGTAGTCGTGCTTGAAAGTGTCTCGATGCTCCAGGCCTTGCTTGGTAATCTGTAGACATGGATTAGTTAGCTACGGCAAAACCGCTTCGAGACAATCCATGCCAGGACGTAGGGGGAGAAGACGTACCGTCAGATTCTCGTGTATTTGCGTTTGATAGGCCCTCCCTGCCTTCACTCGAGCCTTGAGCTCCTCCGATGTTAGCCCCGGACCAGTCAGGGCAGACTGTCTGGTTGCACTGCGTTTTGCTTGAGTGATAGGGAAAAAGGAAACGGCCTCTTCGGCGTTGCGGTCTTCTCTCGTGGTTGTCACAATAGCTGCAACCCCGTCTGCGCCGTTATCCTCTTTAAGAAATCGGAAAAGGAGGATTGACTTGTCACTATCCCATTCTGGGTTGTCTATGCCCCAGTGCGTAAGCTCTGCACGCAATTCGCCATGAGATAGCCCTTGCCCTGTCTTCCGCATATTGGTCAGCAATTTCCGAACTGTCTTTCATGTACTTCTCGTTTTGAACCTCATTGTATCGGCAAAGGCCCAGAACCTGAAACGTACAATTTTGCTCAGCCTTGACGCCTTGCGCGCAAGCGATCGCAGCGCATCTCGTCTTTGCAGGGGAATTTCGATCCCAGCCGTTTCCGCCCTCAACCCTGATCGAAACTTTAGCACGAAAAGCCCAGCCATGTCACGTGTTTAAATGCAGACAGACGTGCTGAGAGAAGACGTACCAGGTCGCTGGTGGGAACTCATCGCACGAGTAACGGATACCAGACTGTGCAATAATGTTGTTATTAGAATCACGCAGGTGCTCTAACACGTTCTCATCTGTTCCCGGCTCCAGTGCCGTTGTGAACCACTCGCCATTTTGTCGCATGGGCTTGCTCTGGTCTGTTTCCGGGCAACGGTGGTCAGACTTCCAGTCTCCTGGACAAGAGGCTAAACGGCGCGACTCTTGGTGAGAATGGTCCTCGCCCGTATCTAGATCGTAGCCATATACATTATTGCTGATTCCACTTAAGGGATGCAGATTTTGCCACCGCGGGTCGGCCTGGAATGCCTCGACATTTTTGCAAATCTCTCTCATGTAGTGGCAGTTGTAGGACAAGTAAACGGTGTAAGGCTCGACGTTGATAACGCGCCATGGAGTCTGGTTCGGGACAGCGCGACTGGCCATATAAAGGTCAGCATAGGCAATTTCATGAAGGAAGTCGTAGTTTTGTGCATTATGTAAAGAGGTCCAGCATTAGAGGTATCTTGTAGCGTCGCAGTCTGCTCCATCCAACCTGGCACACATGAATATGCGATATCTACTATGCGAAGAGGGCACTTAATAATTCAACTTACTATAAGTAGGCTCCAGGGGTAGTGGTGTCAGGCATGTAATCTTGATAATATTGAGCCTCTGCGACAGGAGGGAGTAAGGTAATGAAGACGGGCGCTAATAGCGCAACGAGTCGCAACCAGGCCATGCCGCTGTGTTTGTTAGGGCCGAGGAACTGTGTCCAGAGATGAAGAGGAAACAGGGAGAACAGATATAGAAAAAAGAGAGACTGGAGAGGAGATACAGAGCCTCGTTTTATATAGGCCTCGGGCACAATAAGCCTGCTTAGATAGACACTTTCATGCAACAAATATCTTGTCTCTAATCTTCCTGAAGGCGACCCATCGGTCGTACATCGCCCCTTAGCTTGTGATACACTTCGTAATAGACTTCCAATTGAGCCGAACATAACATATTAGTATACACAGACTTGAAGCAGTGTCATTTATATTTTATTGGCGGATCGCAGCGGGCTTACTATTCAGTGTTGCCGGACTCGGGGTTGCAAGTGTGCGCTAGGGGAGATGGCCGGGCACGACGGGGTAAACACCCCATCATGCCGCATCTCTTAATTTCATTTCAAAGTACTATTGAATCATATTCGTAAGCGACAGGTCGGATTACTACCCCATCGTACGAGAAATGCTTTAGGACATGGATGAGCTGCAAGTATGTGGAAACGGATGTAGCAGCTTTTATTAGAGTGATCTGGCCGATGAGCGGATCCCCGGCTCAGTCGCAGCTCGGTTGACCTTGGCCGGGAGGACCGATCTGGCGGACATCTTAGCCGGCTCTAACAGGACTTACTTGACAACCACATTTCTATATTTCGTGGTTTCTGGATTTCCATTCATTCGATGCATTCGATACTACAAGACTTTTAACCAGATCTCGCTGCATCTCCATCGTTGCTTCTGCAGACGCGGTGCATTTATTGCACTATAAGCTTTCACGACCATGAAGTCGTCCCTGAGCGCATCTTATGCGAGCCACCTCACGTCGCTGACGATTGCGCTCTATTTGGCAGGCACTGTTCAAGCCTCCAACAAATGCGCACCCGCAACATGGCTGGCGGGACAGTTTAAAGCAAGAGGGATTGATACTGGCACTAGTTCACTCCCTAGCAGCGCGTCGCCGTCCGGTGTGGGAACCTCCAGCTCCAGGTCCAGTTCGATGGACGTGTCCGTGTCGATGAGCCCCCTCCTCTCTGGCGGTGATATTACTGCAGGCGAGGTCAACTGCCGATACTCGGCCAGCACCAAGGGCATGGATATCAACTACTACTCCTGCATGGCACTGGCAACCAAATACGGCATCAGCATCGAGAAATTCTTCCAGCTGAATCCTGCACTACATCCCGACTGCGGGAATATTCAAGGCGATACAGATTATTGCGTAGATGGCTGTAAGTCATTGCAGAACCCCTTGATCGACTGAGTATCAGGCTACGAATGAGAACTTACGAAATTACGACCTGACGAATAGTCATTGAACCTGTCCGAGCCACCAACGGACTCTGTGGGCCAGCCAATGGCAATGCGACTTGCCTTGGAACAGAGTTCCAGTGCTGCAATGCGAGAACCTGGACATGCGGCAACTCTCAGTAAGTCCTCCAGTTGCATTCAAGAAGATTTGCTTTTCGTTATCTTGAATGACAGAGTTCAACTAACGCCGGATGGCTCACCTATATCAGAGCGGACTGCGCAGATGGAACGTGCTACGAGGGGGCATGCGCTGGAGATGCCGTGTTTACCACGAACGGCGAGTGCGGTCGCCAGCACGGCTACAAGCAGTGCGTGGGGATCTGGGGCGACTGTTGCAACGCCGAGGGCAAGTGCGGCACTGGCGAGTCCTTCTGCGGATACGGCAAGTGTCAACTTGGCAATTGCAGAGTCGTCCTCCAACCCCCGAAGGTAGGCGGACTGACTCCGGACGGCACCTGCGGCGGCAAGTACCAATACAAGTGCAACATCGCTTATGGCGAGTGCTGCAACAAATATGGCATGTGCGGTTCGCAGCCGCCGGATTGTGGGATAGGATGGTGAGTAGCCCTCTCTAGTTGGAGACTGTTCGCGTTTTTCGAAGCAATTTCCTGTAAGGATGAAGCGACTTGCTAACATGGCGGACAGTCAACCACTCTTCGGTAATTGTGCTTCCCCGGCCGCCTCAACAACGTCAAATCAGCCATCCAGCGTGCCTGCAACTACTACCACGTCAGCAAACTTGCCCAGTACCTACATTCCTACTGAAACCGATCTCCCTTCGTGTGGCCAACTGTGTTTCAAAAATATGCTTGCTCAGCACTCCGCTCTGGGATGTGACGCACAGAACGCATACTGCATGTGCAACAACGTCGACTTCAGCAATGGTCTGCGCGACTGCTCAAATGGTGCCTGCGGACAAGAGGTCGCCAGCACTGTCATTGCGTTTGGCAAATCATATTGCTCTGCCGCATTTGCCAGCCACACGGCTCCGGCCACCGCCACTGGTATTAGCTCCCTGCCCTCTTGTGGTCAGACTTGCTTCAACAACATGCGTGGTCAGTACTCACAGCTCGGCTGCGGCAGTCCCGACCCGTATTGTCTATGCAGCAATACCAATTTCAGCAACGGTATCCGTGACTGTTCAAACGCTGCCTGCGGGACAGATGTTGCCCGCACTGTGATTGCATTTGGCCGCGAGTATTGCTCCGCCGCGTCTGCCAGCCATTCGGCTCAAGCCACAGCCCAACCAACCGTTGCATTCCAAGTCCAGCCTCACCTTAGCACAGACTGCGACGGCGATTCGGATATTGCTCTCGTTGACTTCCAATCCGGCTCAAATGGTAGATGCATCAATCTCGCCTGCCATGCTGCAAGTCTCGGCATTCATGCCGCAGGTGATTGTCCTGATGGACATGTTCAGCTGAGCTACTGGCAAGAGTCCGACTGCTCTGGCGAATGGTATGGCTACGGGTACGCCAGCAGAAACACATGTCGGGTCCTATGGTCCGGCGGGTTAATGTTCAAGTCCCTATGGATGAAGTGCATGGCGCCCAGCGATGACTGCGTCACTAAGGGCACATGTGTGCCTAATGCAGAGCCTAAGGTTGGCATCTGTGAGAAACCAGCAGTTGCATTTCGCTTGCAGAGCCGCTACCACACGGACTGTACTGGGGAAGTGCATGACAATGTTGTGGTGAACTCTGGCTCGAACGGCATGTGCGTCGAAACTGACTGCATGGTGGGTAGCCTAGATATTGCTGGCGTTGGGGACTGTCCAGATGACAACGTGCAGCTTAGCTACTGGGGGGAGAAGGGCTGCACGGGTGAGTGGTATGGCTATGGATATGGGAGTAGGGGCACATGCCGACATCTTTGGTCTGACGGGAACAAGTTCCGGTCGCTGTGGGTAAAGTGTGCGAAGGAGAGTGATGACTGTGTGTACAAGGGGACATGTGTGGCTAATACAGAGCCTGTAAATTCCAAATGTTAGTCTTTTCTGATTCATAACCAAAGAGTAGTACATACTATTCAGACGAGCCCTTTTTATTGTTTGGTCAAAAACAGCTTCAGCTCCCACTCTATCTTTCAAATTTAGCGTGCGCTGTAACAGCTAAAAACGAGCGGCTATTAGTGGGTGTTTACAGGACATCACGCTAAGCAACAGGCGCCTTAGGCTAGTGGCCTACCTTTTTTTTTCTAACAGTGTCAGTGAGGGGATGAATCTGATTATGCACCAAACAATACTAGCCAGACAACCCCTGACTATTATTCCTATCATCGACACTATATACAGAGAAAGGCGAAACGAACGTCCCTTCTTGGTTAACTAAGAATAATAATTGACAGCCATTTTAGGCTGCCGCGAAGCGCCTCTAAGTA